AATGTAGTGAGCAGTCAGTAGCGAGCCGTGTGTAGGGAGTAGTGAGTACTGAGTAGTGAGTAGTCTGCAGTGACGTGTGACTAGTGACTAGTGAGTAGGGAGGAGGGAGTAGTCAGAATTGAGTATTGAGTAGTGCGTAGTGGGTCGTGAATCTTACGTATCAGAAAGTGAGTAGGGAGTAGGGAGTTGCGAGTAGTGTGTAGTGAGTAGTGAGCAGTGAGTACTGTGTAAGGAGTCGGGAGTAGCGAGTTGCGAGCAACGGATAGTGAGTAGTGAGTTGTGGGCAGTGGGTAGTGAATCGTGACTTGTGAGTACTCAGTAGTGAGTAGTGGATAGCGGTTAGTGGGTAGTGATCAGTGACTAGTGTGTAGTGAGTAGTGGGTAGTGAGTAGTGCTTAGTGAGTAGCAAGTATTGAGTAGTGGGTAGTGGATAGTGAGTACTGAGTAGTGAATTCGGGTTAGTGAGTAGTGAGTAGTGAGTAGTGAGTAGTGAGTAGTGGGTAGTGGGTAGTGGGTGGTGAGTGGTGGCTAGTGAATAGTGAGTCGTGAGTAGTGAGTAGTGAGAAGTGAGTAGTGAGTAGCGAGTAGAGTAGTGGGTACTGAGTAGTGAATCATGCGTACTGAGTCCTCTCTCGGGCTAGGGTGAGTGTTTGGGGGTCGGGTTACGGGTGGTCGGGGTGGTAGTGTTACGGGTGGTAGGGGTCGGGAGCCAGGGGGCGCCGTGGCGAAAGGGGGGGAGGGGGGGGGGGTCGGAACCCCCCCCTCTCCCTTTTTGGAGGGGGGGTCCCTGACGACGGACCGGGAAAGGGGGGGAGGGGGGGGGGTTCTCCGGGTTCCCCGACGACGGACCGGGAAAGGGGGGGAGGGGGGGGTTCCCCGACGACGGATCGGGGAAAGGGGGGCGGGGTCCCAACCCCCCCCCGTTGGGGCCATCCAGCGGCGCGCCCTCCTTGTTTGGGGCACTGCTGGCGAACATGTAGTTATGTTTTTGTTCGTTTCGTTCCTCTCATATTCACGATGACCGATACTTCTTTCCGGTGTGAAAGGTAATGGCGGGAGGTGTTTGGGCATTTTCGGCCTGTGGGGTCCTTCGCGGGGCCCAGAGACAGTCAAACAACGACTCAAGATGAAGAGCCGGTCCCAAGGGAGCAACGTTTTGAGGCTGGGGAGACCACCAGGGAGCAACGTTGTGATGCAACTGGCGGCGTCGGAGGTCTGGGGATGCATCTGCTGCTGATGAGGTTGAGGTTGAGGTTGAGGATGAGGACGAGGATGCGAATGATGATGATTATGATGATGATGATGATGATGATGATGATGATGATGATGATGATGATGATGATGATGATGATGATAATGCTGCTGAGGGTGGTGCTGATGATGATGATGCTGATGATGATGGTGGTGGTGATGATAATGAGGATGATGTTAATTGATGATGTGGAGTATGATGGTGCTAGTGATGATGGTGATGCTGATGATTGTGACGATGATGCTGATGAAGATGACGATGCTGATGATGATGATGATGACGATGAGGATGATGATGCTGATTATGATGATGACGATGGTGATGATGATGAGGATGATGATGACGATGATGATGATGATAATGATAATGATGATGATGATGATGATGATGATGATGATGATGATGATGATGATGATGATGATGATGATGATGATGATGATGATGATGATGATGATGCCGATGATGATGCTGATGATGGTGATGATGACGATGATGATGAGCGGGTGCTAAGTTGCAGGACTTCAGGGGCGGTGCTGCACTGACCGTGCTGGATTTGAGTTCAGTGCGCCCCCGCAGAACCGACGCCCCCCCCTGGGCTAGGGGACGAGGGGCGGCCCCAAGACGCCAGAACGGGCAGGCTGCCCAGCGATGACCCCTGTTGCCTGATGCCAACGCGGGGCATGGCAGCAGCCCGTCACTTCCGCACAGGCCCTCGGGCCAGGCGGCGAACGATCCCCAGACCCCAGAGGCGGGAGCAGCTGACGGCCACCGCGGGCCGCCAGCCAAGTTTCTCAAGCCGGGCCCAGCCGTCACTACTGCTACTTGCAGTCAGCGTCGGGAGCGGCCATCACGGGACCGGCGTCTCCAAGTACGTTGGGTCGTGCAGCATCGCGTTGGCGGCGTTGGTGTCGGGGTGCTCGAAGACCATGATCTTGGGCTGCCCTGTGGCACTTCCCAGCGACGGCGGCCTGCGGCCTGCGTGTGGCCCACGGCGCCGCGCCATCGAACCGCTCTATCGCGCCGCTTGGCTGCGGCCGCGGCGGCTGCGAAGCTGCGGGTACGAGTGGCCTGGCCTCGGCCATCTGCAGTGCCACCCACCGTCGGCGTCCGCACCGCGGCTTCCGTCTGCGCAAGCGGCCGCCGAGTTCGGCTAGCGGCTGCCACAGGTCGATCAGGAGGACCGTGCGCCACAGCGGTGGGCGCCACGAGCGGCTCCAGGGCTGTGGCGGCGGTCGGCTCCCCGGGGATGTCATGGCGCGGTGGCTGCCAGCCACGAGCGCCGCGAAGCCGGCGTGGCCCCGCACCGCCATCCTCACGACAATACCAAAAAGCAGAGGCGCTCAGCCGGCCTAGCCGAGGTTGTTCGCGGTGGCGATTCCCTCGCCCTTCTCGGTGCTCTCGCCCTGCTCGCCGGACGGCTCCCCGGTGCTGGTCGCCCTCGGACCTCACGCCGCCGTCCCTCCCCTCAATGCCCTCCCGCTCGACCCCTGGGGCCTGCGCAGAGCCCCGCGCCCCGTGCTCGGTGCCCCCGCTCTGCTCGTCGAGCGGACCCGCGTGCGCGCCGCCGTCGACCTGCTCGGCACCTTCGTCGATGACCTCGACCTGCGCCGCGAACGTCTCCTCGAACGCGTCGCCGTCGATCACACGCGGCTTGGCTGCGCTGCGCTGCGGCGCGCGGGGAGCCCCGCTCGTGCCGAGCGCTGCCGCGACCGCAGCGGCCGCAGCCCGCGCCCCGGCGGAGGCCGTGTCTGGCGCCGCCGTCAGCTCCGCCGCCAGCGCGTCGCAGCGCTGCCTCCCAAACCGTGCCTTTCGCACGGCCGTCTGGAGCAGCTTTTGGGTCGCCCAGCGGTCCTGGATCCGCCCTGCGTTCCGACGCCTCCGCCTGTCAGCACTTGCGCCGAGGTCTCGTCCAGCAGCGGCCGCACCCCCGCGGGCCGCCTCCCATTGCGCGCTCGGCAGCATGCGGAGCGCCAGTTCCAGCGCTAAGCGAGAGCCAGCGTGCCGTAAACCCATGAGCCGAAACGATGACGGTCATGATGATGATGATGATGATGCTGCTGCTGCTGATGTTGATGATATTGATACTGATGATGATGTAGATTATAATGGTACTGATGATGATGACGATTATAATGATGATGAGAATGTTGATAATGCTGATGCTGATGATGCTGATTCTGATGACGGTCATGATGATGATGATGGTGCTGCCGATGATCATAATGCTCATGATGATGGTGATGCTGATGCCGACGATGATGATGATGATGATGATGATGATGATGATGATGATGATGATAATGATGATCATGATGATAATTATTATTCTGACAATGATGACAATGTTGATGATATTGTTGTTGGTGATGCTGATGCTGATGGTGGTGGTGCTGATGGTATAGCGATGGTGATGGTGATGATGAACATAATGATAATAATAACCTAATGATGCTGATTCTGATGATGATGAGGATGGTGATGGTGATGGTGATGGTGATGGTGATGCTGATTGTGATGATGATGGTAACGATGGTAATGCTGGTGTTGTTGATTACGGTTGAGATGATGATGATGATTATGATGATGATGATGATGATGATGATGGTGATTGTGATGCTGCTGATGATGATGATGTTGATGTTGATGATGGGGGTTGTGGTGGTGCTGATGATGTCGCTGATGACAATGATGCTGACGATGGTGACAATGAGGATGTTCATATTGATGGTAATGGTAATGATGATGACGAAACTTAAACGACGATGCTGATGGTGGTGATGATGATTAGGATGCTGATATTGATGATGATGCTGATGATGACGACGATGATGTTGATGATGATGATGATGAATGATCATGATGACGATACTGGGAATGATGATGATGAAGTTTATGGTGATGGTGATGATGATGTGGTTGATGGTGACGGTTACGATGGTGATACTGGTGTTCTTGGTGATACCGACCACGACCGCGATGATGGTGATGTTGTTGATGTTGATGGTGATGATGATGACGAGGATGATCGCGGTTTGACGATGGTGGTGATGAGGATGTTGCCGATGATGATGAGGATGCTGAAGATGATGGTAATAGTGACGCTCCTGGTGATGATAATTATGATGATGACGATGATGATGATTATGCTGATCGTGACAGTCACGATGATGCTGCTGATGCTGCTCCTGATGATGATGATTATGATAACGCTGCTGATGACGATGCTGATGCGGAGGATGATCATGACGACGATGCTAACGACGACGATGTTGATGATGCTGATGGTGGTGTTGATGATGATGATGAGGAGGATGATGACGATGATGATGATGATGATGATGATGCTGGTGATGATGATGATGATGTCGGTGATGGCGATGACGATGACGATGACGATGACGATGCCGATGATGTTGATGATTATGTTGATGACGATGGTGGTGGTGATGATGAAGATGATGATGGCGATTCCGGCAATGATGCTGCTGCTGATGATGTTGTTGATAATGTTGATGATGACGATGCTGATGGGGACGATGATGCTTCTCATGATGATGATGCTGCTGATGATGATGATGACGATGATGCAGATGATGCTGGTGATGGGGATGATACTACTGTTGCTGCTGATGATGACGATGAGGATGAGGTGTTGTGCGCCATCAGCCTACGCTTCCAGATGGCCCTTCTCTCCCGCCTCCTGCCAGTGCCGCTTGCCTGCTCATCCTTATCATCCCCTGGACTTCAGGTCGCCGAGCGTACGCTCTTTTATTGGAACAATGACTACATCGTGAAGCTGATCAACCAGAATCGCCACGTGCTATTCCCAATGAGGGGAAGGGATCGAGATGGGGGAGGAGGAGGAGAAGGAGGAGGAAGAGGAGGAGGAGGAGGAGGAGGAGGAGGAGGAGCAGGAGGAGCAGGAGGAGGAGACGGAGGAGGAGGCGGAAGAGGAGAAGGAGGAGGAGGAGGAGAGAGGAGAAGAGAGAAGAGAGGAGGGGAGGGGGAGCGGGGAGGGGGAAAGGAGGAGGAGGAGGAGGAGGAGGAGGAGGGAGGAGGAGGAGGAGGAGGAGGAGGCGAGGATGGGGGAGGAGGGAGGAGGAGGAGGAGAGGAGGAGGAGGAGGAGGAGGAGGAGGAGGAGAGGAGGAGAAGGAAAAGGAGAGGAGGGAGGAGGAGGAGGAGGAGGAGAGGAGGAGAGGAGGAGGAGGAGGAGGAGGAGGAGGAGGAGGAGGAGGAGGAGGAGGAGGAGGAGGAGGAGGAGGAGGAGGAGGAGGAGGAGGAGGAGGAGGAGGAGGAGGAGGAGGAGGAGGAGGAGGGAGGGGAGGAGGAGGAGGAGGAGGAGGAGGAGGAGGAGGAGGGAGGAGGAGGAGGAGGAGGAGGAGGAGGAGGAGGCGGAGGAGGAGGAGGAGAGAGAGAGGAGGAGAAGAGAGAGGAGGAGAAGAGAGAGGAGGAGAAGAGAGAGGAGGGGGGGGGCGGAGGGGGGGATAAGAAAGAGGAGGGGCAAGAGGAGCAGGGGGGGAAGAGGGGGGGAGCGCGAAGAGGAGCAGATGTGAAGGGAGAATGGCTGGAGGGGTAGAGCGTGAGGAGGAGGAGGCTCGAGCTTGGATGATCGAGGTTTGCGGGGGTGCCCTTTCCCATCGACCCCCTCCTCCCCTTCCTCCTCCTCCTCCTCCTTCTGGAATCCTTCGGGGACCTCCAGGAGGGAAGTGCGGGGAGGGCCATCGCGGGGGATTCCATCCGAGGCTTCTTCGGGGGACGCCTGGGAGCGCGCTGGGTGCTCGGCAGCCACGCGCAGGTGGTGGTGGTGGTGGTGGTGGTGGTGGTGGTGGTGGTGGTGGTGGTGGTGGTGGTGGTGGTGGTGGTGGTGGTTGGTGGTGGTGGTGGTGGTGGTGGTGGTGGTGGTGGTGGTGGTGGTGGTGGTGGTGGTGGTGGTGGTGGTGGCCCTCGCGGAGGTGGATAGCCCCCCATCGCCGCTGTAAGGATAATGGGAATGAAGAGGAGGAGGAGGAGGAGGAGGAGGAGGAGGAGGAGGAGGGGAGGAGGAGGAGAAGCAGGGAGGAGGAGGAGGAGGAGGTGAAGGAGGAGGAGGAGGAGATGGAGGAGGAGGAGGAGGAGGAGGATGAGGAGGAGGAGGCGGAGGAGGAGGAGGAGGAGGATGGAGGAGGAGGAGGAGAGGAGAAGGAGAAGGAGGAGGAGGAGGAGGAGGAGGAGAGGAGAAGGATGAGGAGGGGCGAAGGGGGAGAGGGAGGGAGAAGGGGGAGGAGCAAAAGAGGGATTGGAGAGGGGAGGGGGAGGGGGAAGGAGGGGGATCGGCAGGGAGGGGAGGGAGGTCAGCCAGGCCGCCCTGCGCCGTCGGGGATTGGGGCAGTTCTCGGCCTCCGGGCCCCGAGATCCGGGCGCAGCGTTCTTATTTTTTTCGCACCGGGCGTGCTCGCCTGGCCTCGGGCCCTGGGACCATTAGATCATGTTTCTTTATTTTAGCCGCGCGCAGAGGGGGTTTGGGGGAGGGGGGAGGGCGTCTTAGAAGCACGCACCCCTGCTTCTTGGAAGGCGCCGGCCTTATCTATAGATGTGAAGCCGGCGCCTTCTAAGAAGCAGCTTCCTTCTAAGAAGCCCTCCCCCCTCCATCCACCCCCCTGTGCGCGCCACCAATTATTGCTTGGCTATGACGCAACGCCCCCCCCCCCCCCCAGTGCGCTCCGGGCACTGCCGCCGCGCGCATCGGGCACACGGCGGGGGGGAGGCGTTACAGTACATTGTACCCCCCCTGGGCCCCCTCCCCCCTTCATAATGCCCACTATCGCCGAACATAAGGAAACGCGCTCATGGGGTGCTCGGGTCGTGATTCGTCGCGTTGTTGACACTTCGGGGGCGGCCAAGAGGGGGGTGATGGGGGGTGGATATCATGGCGTGGGCCATGATATCTCCTCAGATTTCAGGGCTCCTCTTCTTAACTCAATACCTCCCTGGCCCCCCCCCCCTGGGCCGCGCACGTGCCGCCAGCCATGATTTGCGCCCCCCTCTTGGACGCCCCCCTCTTGGCCGCCCCCGAAAATTGTTCGTCGCAACGTTGGGTTTCAGGGAAGTGACGGCCTGAGATCTGGGCGCCTCATTGTCGTCACCGGGCGTTTTCGCTCGGATTCGGGCCCTGGGGGGCCAGCATGATGGGTACCGAGCGCGGACTCAGAGTAGACTTCAGCATGCCAGGGCGGCTGCGAACTGCGAAACCGCCGCCACTTTCGACAGCCTCTGGGGGGGCCAGCATAGTGGTCATCAAGCGCAGACTCAGATCAGACCTCACCATCTCTGGGGGGCTGCGAAGTGCGAAACCGTCGCCACTTTCGACAGCTTCTGAGGGGGGTTGGCATAGTGGGTTGCCGAGCGCAGGCTCAGATAAGACCTCACCATCCGTGGGGGGCTGCGAACTGGGGAGGGCTGGAGTAGTGGGTTGCCGATCGCAGATTCAGATACGACCTCACCATCTCCGGGGGCTGCGAACTGAGGGGGCTGGCATAGTGGATTGCCGAGCGCAGACTCTGATAAGGCTTCACCATCCCCATGGGGCTGCGAACTGCGAAACTGTCGCCAGTTTCGACGGCTGCTGGGGGGTGGGGGCAGCATAGTGGGTTCCAAGCGCAGATTCAGATTAGACCTCACCATCTTTGGAGGTCTGCGAACTGCGAAAATACCGCCTCGATCGACAGCTTCTGGAGGGGCTGGCATAGTGGGTACCGAGCGGAGACTCAGATTGGACCTCATACGTACAGTTTTGCGAGGTTGTCGCACGTTTCGACGACTGCTTGGGGGCCAGGATAGTGAGTAACCGAGCGCAGACTCAGACTAGACCTCACCATCCCTGGGGGGCGGCGAACTGCGAAACCGTCGCCACTTTCGAGGGCTGCTGGGGGGGGGCAGCATAGCCTGTACCGAGCGCAGACTCATATTAGACCCCACCATCCCCAGGGGGCTACTTTCTGCGAGACAGCCGTCACTTTCGATGGCTGGTGGGGGCGCCAGCGTAGTGGTCACCGAGCGCAGACTCAGATTTGACCTCACCATCTCTGTGGGGCTGCGAACTGCGAAACTGCTGCCACTTTCGGCAGCTTCTGCGGGGGGAGGCTGCGGACTGCGAAACCGTCGCCACTGTCAACAGCTTCTGGGGGAGCCGGCATAGTGGGCACCACGCGAAGACTCAGATCAGACCTACCATCCTTGGGGGGTTGCGAGCTGCGAAAATACCGCCTCTTTCGGCAGCTTCTGGAGGGGCCGGCATAGTGGGTACCGAGCGCAGGCTCAGATTAGACCTCACCATCCCTGGGGGACGGCGAACTGCGACGCTGTCGCAAATTTCGACGGCTGCTGGGGGGGCTGGCATAGGGGGTGACCGAGCGCAGATTCAGATTGGACCCCAGCATCCAAGGGGGGCTGCGAATTGTGAAGCCGCCGCCACTTTCCAGGGCTGCTGGGGGGGGGCAGCGTAGTGGGCGCCGAGCGCATACTCAGATTTGGCCTCGCCATCCCTGAGGGGGCTGCGAACTGCGAAACTGTTGCCGCTTTCGAGGGCTGCTGGGGGGCCAGCGTAGTGGCTACCAAGCGCAAATTCGGATCAGACTCCACCATCCCTGGGAGGAGTTTGGTGGTGGGGGGGGGGGGCGAACTGCGATGGATGCTGTCCGCCATTCCGACGGCTGCTGGGGGTTGTGGAGGGAGGAGGGAGTACGTGAGGAGGAGCGGGGGGAGGAGGAGGGGAAGCAGAAAAGAGGAGGGAGGGGGAGCGGGGAGGGAGAGGAGGAGGAGGAGGAGGAGGAGGTGGAGGAGGGAAGAGATGAGGACGAGGATGAGGATGAATGAGATAAGATGATGATGATGATGATGATGATGAGATGATGATGATGATGATGATGATGAGGAGGAGGAGGAAGGAGGAGGAGGAGAGAGGGGAGGAGGAGGAGGAGGAGGAGGAGAAGGAGGAGGAGGAGGAGGAGGAGGAGGAGGAGGACGAGGAGGAGGACGAGGACGAGGACGAGGACGAGAACGAGGACGAGAACGAGGAGGAGAAGGAGGACAAGGATGAGGATGTGGATGAGGATGAATATTACGATAATGATGATGATGATGATGATGATGATGATGATGATGATGATGATGATGATGATGATGATGATGATGATGATGATGATGATGATGATGATGATGATGAGGAGGATGCTGATGCTGATGCTGATGCTGATGCTGATGGTGATGGTGATGGTGATGGTGATGATGATGATGATGATGACGATGATGCTGCTGATGGGGATGCTGATAATGATGATGCTGATGATGATGATGATGATGATGATGCTGATGATGATGATGATGCTGCTGCTGCTGATGATGGTGCTGATGCTGCTGATGATGATGCTGCTGATGCTGATGCTGATGCTGGTGCTGCTGCTGCTGATGCTGATAATAATAATACTACTATTAATACGGACGATAATGCTGATGATGAGAATGATGCTGATGATAATCCGGGTTAATAATAATACTAATGCTGCTGATGATGCTGATACTAACAATGATGCTGAGAAGGACGAGAATAATGATATTAATGATAATAATACTGAGGAAGAGAAGGAGAAGAGAGGAGGGAGGGGAAGCGGGGAGGGAGAGAAGGAGGAGGAGGACGAGGACGAGGAGGAGGGGGACGAGGACGAGGACGAGGAGGAGGAGAAGGAGAAGGAGGACGAGGATGAGGATGAGGATAAGGACGAGGATGAGGATGAGGATGATGATGATGCTGCTGCTGATGATGCTGATGATGCTGATGATTATGATCAGGAGGAGGAGAAGGAGGAGGAGGAAGAAGAGGAGGAGGAGACGTCAACCACGCGTCGTCGCCGTCGTCGTCGTCGCTCGTTGGGGTCCACGCCCGCGACGCTGCTGCTCATCATTGAGAGTTGAAGCGTTGCCCCTTTCTCCTCCTCCTGCTTCCTTGTTCATTTGTACCCTTGCACCTTACCCTATCCTGCCGCTGCTGCCGCGGCGATCTTTCACCCTCCCCATCCTCCTCCTCTTCCCTGCCTCTTTCCCCTTCGAGCCCGTGGCTCCATGACCTCTATCCCGCCCTTGTCCTCCTATCGGTGCCCTGTGAGTCCAGCAATGCGTGAGCCTCCCATGCAGCATTCACCGCAACTAATGGTCCTTGCAGTGCCGTCATCCGCGGGAACTTTGGCCAACTGCTCCTGTTAGCTGCTGTAGACCTAGACATGCGACGTCTTGTTTTTCTATACGGGGTCCCTAGAAGTCCCGACCCGTTCCCTGGGACCGGTTTTTCATCCCGAGTCGTTTTTGACAGTCCCGAGGCCTGGCGAGGGCCCCCCGAGACCGGAAGCTTCCCGCCCTGATTCTTGTACGACGCGATCGTGTCTGGGGACGGGGTGGGTGCGTCGCAGGGCAGATTTCGTGACGTCGGATCTCAGGGGAGGGGGTGCACGGGAGAGGCGGGGGCGAGGCGAGCGCGCGACGTCGGTCCCTCGGGACCAGGCCCTGCGAGGGCTGCGCGAGGGGGCCTGGGCCCTCAGGAGACGCGCTGTTCGACGACACTTAAGTCGGGCCTGTCCCTCTACAAGAGGAGTATGAAACAATTGTCAAAACATAGTCTGGGGACGTTTTTTTAATAACAAATTTTAGAAAGTCTCTGAATATGTTTTGAGTATTTCTCATTCGTCGTCCAAAATCCGCCTGTTGGGAGACAGGCGCGACCTAAGACTACACGTGAGAGTGATTTTTCGCCAGAGTGATTTTTGGTGCGGGCCCGATGCGGTCCCCCGATCGCCGAACACGATGCGATACAGTGGGCGCGCGCATCAAGAAACCATCTGCTTTTCGTCAGGGTACTCTGGGTTTCTTCGCTCCGCGCGCTGCTCGGTGACTTCCCGCGGCCATCAAAGGGGCTGCTGCGTTCAGGGTGCTCCGGGTTCCCCCTCAGGTGCACCCCGCGCGCGGATTTTCAGGGTTGGGTTTCTTGCGAGGTCCTCTTGCGACCGCGTCCGCACTGTAACAGCGTCTTGCGCGCTCGGGTTTGATCCCCCCGCGGCCCCGGGAAAGCCGCGCGCCAAATGTCACTCTTGCCCAGGGTCCCTCTTTGGAGACGAGGAAGTGCATTTGCTAACCGCTGTCGTCCCTTTGAGTACCGACCACAACTGTTCCAGTTGCTTACCGCCAGTGTGAGTGTCACAGATGCATCCAGAGTCGGAGAGACGACTGCCGGGGGTGGGCGAAGGATCATCGGGGCTCTGTACAAGAATTCCAAGCAGCACTGGAACAGCGCGGTCCACGGCCTCACCTTCAATGTGCTGAAGCTGCTGATGGAGGCGGACCCGCTGCTCTTCGACCAGTGTACCGCGCAGCACCAGCAGGACAAGGAGCAGGAGGAGCGCCGCGAGCAGGCGCCGCAGACAAGACGCGTGTCCACGTCCGCTGCGTCTTGGGCTTTCAGGGAGGGGGCGCGCCGAGGCGCAGTGGACATGGACAAACATCTGGCATCCAGGGGCCTGGTTTCTGTCTATACCCACTGCGCCTCGGGTTTCACTCGGGCAGGGAGCCCGGAGCTTCAGATGCGCAGCGGATGCGGCCACAGAGCCTGCCCGCAGGCGCGGAAGCAGAAGTGGAAGACGCTGCAGGACCTGCATGACGCAAAGGTGGGCAGCCGGCGAACGTGAGCGGGGCTTTCGTTCGACCCGCCGCTGCGGCAGTTCCCCCGACATCGGCGGAGGTGTGCATGAGGGTGGCTCTGTGATGTGTGTGTGTGTTGAGTTCGGTGTATTATCCTTCTCCTCCAGCCTCTCACCCTTCCTGGGCTCGGCCTTGCGACTGGGTTTTTTCTTGCATATCCGGTGGCATCTTGAGATAAATGTCTCGCTGGGAGCTAGGGCGTCGCGAGCCACACCAGATCCATTCCCATTTGTCCGCCTCCCAGGTCGCTGCGATTCACACCAGGTTCATTCCCATTTCTCCTTCCTCCCTACTCTCCCTCCTGCTGCTCCGCCCCTTCCCTCTCCTCATGCCACCCTTCTCCTTTACGCTTACGCTTTCGGCCGCATCGTCTATCATCCCCTCCTCTCCGCCTCCTCCACCACCTTCTCATCATAATCGTCAACATGATGATCTTCATCGTCATCGACATCGTCATCGTCATCGTTAGCTTCATCGTCATTGTCCTCATCACCCTCATCATCACCATCATCACCATAACAGTCATCGTCACCATCCTCAGCATCACCATCACCACCGTCATAATAATCGTCATCCTCATCTTCATCATACTCATAATCAGCATCACTATTGCCATCACCACCATCATCATCAACATCATCATCACCATACGCATCCTCATCCTCATCATCCTCACCATCCTCGTCATCAGCCCCATCATCATCCTCATCATCATCATACTCATCATCATGTCATAATAATACCACTAACCCTCCTCCTCCTCCTCCTCCTCTTCATCATCATGATTCCTATCATCACCATCACCACCACCACCAGCATCATCATCATCATCATCACCATCACCATCACCATCATTATCACCACCACCATCATCACAGTCATCATCATCATCATCATCATCATCATCATCATCATCATCATCATCATCATCATCATCATCATCATCATCATCATCATTATCATCATCATCATCATCATCATCATCATCATCATCACCATCGTCACCATCGTCACCATCAGTAGCATCATCACTACCATCATCCACCCCCCTCTCTCCTCATCATCCTCCGTCTTCTCCACCCGAAGAGTGGCATGATACTCCTCCTGGCGAGGCAGTAGGGTGCTGCCGCGCCGAAGGCGTTGCCAGGCTGCGCCGCTGGCCACGCAGCGTTTTTTTACGCACGTAGGCGAGCCAGCCCAGCTCCCGTCCTCTCTCCTCTGTTTCCTTCTCACTTGACTTACTTGCGGGCAGTCGCTTTTCAGGAGCGAAAAGAGGACGTACGCGTACACGAATACACGTTTGTCTGG